TTAATAGAGCAGGAAAACAGAGGACGTAGTAATAAAAAAAAGAGGATCATTTTGGGTTTGCAGCCAGCCTAGGCTACATAGTGAGTTCACGGCCATCCTGGACTACATAGTGAGACTTTATCTCAAAAAAATAAAATAGAATTTTAAAAAAAATGAAAGGTTTAAAAAAAAAAAAAAGAAAGAAAACAAAGGTTTGGGGCTAGGTGTGGTGGCAAACGCCTGTAATCCCAGCACTCAGGGAGGCTGAGTAGGAGGGAATCACTGCAAGTTCAAGGCCAGCCTGGGCTACAAAGTAAGTTCAAGGCCAGCCTGAACTGCATAGTGAAACCCTCTCTCAAAAAGACAGAAATAAAAAAAAGTTTGGCTGGGTATGGTTGCATATGCCTATAGTCCCAGCACTTGGGAGGCTGAGGTAGGAGGATTGCCACAAGTTCAGAACCAGCTCAAACTACATAGTGAGTTCAAGTGCAGCCTGGACTACACAGCGAGACCTTGTCTCAAAAAAAAAAAAGAAAGAAAAACAACTGGGTGTGGTGGCACACGCCTGTAATCCCAGCACTCGAGAGGCTGAGGCAGGTGGATCATTGTGAGTTTGAGACCAGCCTGGGCTACAAAGTGAGCTCAAGGCCAGCCTGAGATGCATAGCGAGACCCTGTCTCAAAAGGACAAAAAAACAAAAAACAAAACAAAAAAAACCACCTAGTCATATATAAAAGATACAGAACCAAAATCTACCCCTCTACTCTTAGGAGCAGTGACTCTTACCAGATGAGATTGGGCGTGTTCTGGGTGGTATGGCCATAGACGGGATGACTCATATCCCACAGTCTTAGAGTGGCTGTCTCATTTTAAGCACTAGAAAAAAGTAGATCAAGATTCTGAGGAGACACTGATTCCCTAGGGTACCTGTGAGTGGATTTGTGTATTCTTTAGGCCAATTAAATGTAGATCAACTTGGTGTCACTCAAAAAAGCTAGTAGGCTGGGCATTGTGGTGCGTACCTGTAATCCCAGCAATCCAGGAGGCTGAGACAGGAGGATCCTTGCAAGTTCAAGGTCAACCTAGACTACAAAGTGAGCTCAAGGCCAGCCTGAACTGCATCGGGAGACCCTGTCTCAAAAAGAAAAAAAAAAAAAAAAAATTGAAAAATCTTGAAGACTTGGTGGGGAACTAATGGGAGATTAAAAACTTCCGTTTCTCCATTTCAGCTCCCTTGGCAGTGGGAGACTTTGTGGTAGAGCAAGCTGTATTTCAGAAGCAGTTCTTATTTTACTGTCCCCATTCTTAACACTGAATGCCAGCTTCCTGAGACCTTCGCAGTGGTGCAGTCTTTTAATGGATGATTACAGGAGTACAGTCCTTACAGGAGCAAGAAAATGAAGAGATTTTGTCCTTTTGCTAACAAGTGATTGCACCTGAAATAGACCTGTGTCTACTTTTATCTACTTTTTTTCTTGCAGGACTGTTGAAGCCTGGAAGTCCCCTCCCCTCCCCCTCCCCCCTTTGCCGCTTTGTGGCACCCCCCTCCCTCCACCCTTTCCCACTCTCATCATCTGGCCATGACGAGCAGAAGCACGGCCAGGCCCAATGGGCAGCCCCAGGCCAGCAAGATCTGCCAGTTCAAATTGGTCTTGCTGGGGGAGTCCGCGGTGGGCAAGTCTAGCCTGGTACTACGCTTCGTCAAAGGGCAGTTCCATGAGTACCAGGAGAGCACCATTGGAGGTGAGAGCCTCGGGAGGAGGGGCGCGGCGCTCCCCAGGGCTTCGGAAGGGCGCTGTAAGACCTGACTGGGGAGCTAGCCCTCTTAGCTCCCAGGAATAGAAGCCCTTTATAAGTAACAAAGAAGGAGTTGTCATTAGGCCTAAAATCAGGTATATGTTCATCTCTTGCTTTCTAGAAGAGAATTTGATCTTGGTATCCCAAGAAAATCGCTCATTTTTCATGTCTGTCTTTCTCTTCCCGCTCTGTCACCTTAATCTCAGTAAAGTTCAGTTGGGTTTCATCTCGAGCAGGTAAAAGTTGGTGGTGTGCTCCCACCCTTAGCCGTGGGAACTTTTGGCAGGAGGGAGCTGGCGAGGGAACTCAGTCCGGTCCCAGGGTGTCTGTGTAAGGAGAACACTAGCTGAACAGCTTGGGTGGCGAGCAGGCTTACTCTGAGAGTGGAGATGCTCTGGAGCGCGTGGGGTG